CCGGCTGTATAAGGACTTCTTCTGTATAAGAAGAGGGAGCTTGCCACAATGGCATTGGGATAAAATATGGCTTCCTGATAAAATGATCAATATATTTGTTAGTGCAAAAGTGCAGTACATCCATAGACCATGTCAAGTAACTTCCATTCAAAAGTAACACGTACCTTGTGGGTGATAGGGTGTGTCTCAGCCCACCTCCTCTGTTGAGTGTTGTTTTTTCCAGGTTGACAAAAATGGCTTATTTTATGCTTCTCTCAAGCCATCTGTCTTCCCTGGTCAAAATGTGAAAATGAGTCCTGTCCAGAAGAAGTTGCCCCCCCTGTGATGACTAAGAAGCATCATAGACAGAAGTTAAAAATGTTTATGTGCATTGCTATATAACTTTCAGCCCCAAATCATCCAATGTAAGATATTTTAGAATGAAAGATCAGTGACTTTTTTCCATTAAATGTATATATTAAAATTATTTCTCTCAGAGAAAAAGGCTACTCTGATATAAGTTAACACAAGATTCATAAAATGGTTAGAAATTATGTGAAATTTGCCCTTTTCTCCGTTTTTGTGTAGTTGCAATGCACACAAAGGAAATAAACCCATTATATACCTAACAAAACATAGCGATCAATAACTCATTGGATGAAATACTTAATTTCATGGACAAATGTCAGGGGTCCATACACTTCCATCCAACTCTGTAGGCCACTATCAGAGAATTGTAAACGAGCGTATGAAATACTGTAAACCCTGCGCTAATTTAGTAAGGTACTGTTTTAAAACAGCTGGAAAATCACAGCGCTATTAGACATTTGAATTGCATACACATAAGCTCGAAGGCTACATGAGGACGTTTTATGACTACAATAAAATGACGCAAATGTAGTAAGGTACTGTTTTAAAACAGCTGAAAAACTCGGAGGCTATATGGGGCAAGTTTTATGACTACATAAAAATGACGATAAATCGATAAATCGCAGTATTAGCTATTCAAACTGCATTCAGATACAATCTCATGCATGTGGCCAGTTGAAATAAGTTGACTGTCAAACCTATGCATTGCATACTGGTCATATAAAGTATTAAAAATCCAAGAAACTAACCTTGTTTAACGGTGGGGTAGCAGAAAACTATGGCTTGTCTGCAGCGGCAAATTGGCCGATGTGCGCATGCGCAGTTGACTTGCAAAGCAAAAAACTATAGGTAGGAGAAAAC